GCCACCACCCAGCTTTTGTTTTTTGATTTGTTTTGTTCTTATTTCCATAGACTACATCAGTCTTTTTAGCACTTTGGCACAGTCCTGACTGTTTTCCCTTGTAGATTTCTTTACATAGAGTAAGGGTAAGGGAAGTATGAGTCCCAATTGTTTATCTTTGTTCTGTCCTACATAGAAGTTTAAAAGGGGCATAACTTAATAGGCAACTTGATTTGATTTGAATGTTTGGAGGGTAGTGTCTTTCAATCAGCCACTCAGAAACTTCTTTCTGGACAACTTGACACCTCTGGTTCAGATCTATAGAGACCTTTCTAGTCTTCATTTCCTATAGCTTCTGTCTAATGACAAAGAAAATGTCTGTCTTTTAAGTGAGACCATTTCAGTCATCTTTTAACTAAGAGCTTAATAGATTTTATTAACTATTAAAAATTTTAATATTTAATTTTATATGCATAAGTGTTTTGCTCACATGTATGTATGTTGTATGTATGTGTATCATGTATGTGTCTGGTGTCCATGGAGGCCAGAAGAGGGCATCGGATCCCCTGGCACTAAGTTATAGACAATTGGGTGCTACTACCTGGGTTCTAGGACTCAAACTTGGGTCTTTTGCAAGAGCAACATGTGCTCTTAATTTCTGAGCCATCTTTCCAGCTCCCTAATTATTTTTGATGGAGCCCTCATTATGTTGCACAAAATAGTCTCAAACTCAAGGGATCAGATTATCCTCTGTTCAAGCCAACCTAGTTGTTTGGACTGTAGGTAGGTACATGCCACCATGCCTGGTTCTTTTCTCATTTGTTATTTATTTCTTTTTGCTGAAAAAAATTTACTTTTGAGACAGTATTGCTATGTAGCCCAGGGTATCCTTGAACTCACCTTCCTCTGCTTTGCTTGGTTCTCACTCGCCCCTCGCTCGCCCTCCCTCCCTCCCTCCCTTCCTCCTTTCTTCCTTCCTTCCCTCCCTCCTTCCCTTCCTTTCTCCCTCCCTCTTCTCTCTTTCCTTCTCTCCCTCTCCCTTCCTCCCTCCTTTCCTTTCTTTTAATTCAATTTATTGCTATTTGTTTTTTAAAAATTATGTTTTACTATTTATTTTGTGTGAGTGTCTGTGTATATATGCATGCTCGCACAAGAGTTATTCTCTTTTAGCCACGTGAATTCCAGGGATCAACTCAAGCTTGGCAGCAAGCTGAGCCATCATCTAGCCCCTCACTGCTTTAAAATAAATAAATAAATGAATAAATAAATAAATGAATAGAATATGTTTTAAAATTTGTTGTCCAATTCTCTTTATGTGTTGGGGGATGGAGTGGGCACTCGTGGTCAGTCGTGTGTGTGTAGAGTGTCCATGTGTATCATGTTTGTGTAAGTGGAGCTCAGAGTTCATTTTCTTTCTACCATAGGGGTTCCCCGGGTTGAAATCAGGTCATAAGGTGTGATGGCAGTACCTTTACCAGATGAGACATTTCACTGGCCTTGTATACAATTTTTCCCCCGAGTTTAACTTTTGTTCTCAATCTGAGCCTGTTAAGATATTATGGTATATAAAGATATCAACTAATGTAGTGAGTTGTAACAACTCAGGGGGAAAAATGTCAGTCTTCTGTAAGCTGTAGACAGCCTAGTATTGGGCAAATGCAGCACCACAGAGAGAGTCAAGTGGGTAACTAATTCTCTGTTCTTACACATGGTATATTTAACAGCCAGGACCGGAAATTTGCTCCATAAAAACCTCTTGGTATTTAAAGTTGTACTTTGCTCTGGCTTTTAGTTCTCTGTCTGGGTCTTGTAATTCTAGTAACTCTCTATTTCTTTCACTAGCCAAGGACTTCTTTCTTTGCTGGCTTTTATGGTCAGTCTCTTAGATGGGCCTACTGAAGGGATATCCCAACTTGTGTACCTGAGACCTACCCCAGGAAGAAGCCAGATTCATTTATCACCTCAGTTCTCTAAAGACAATTAGGGGAGGCCATTTACAGGAGAGAGAAACAGAGTGGGCAGCTCAAGTCAGGGACACTGGAAGCAGTGGTTCAGAGATGTCCCTGGCTCTCTGGCTAGAAATGTCGGAAGAGAGCTCTGATTTCTTATCTTAAGTGAGCACCCCTGCCTGGATGCTATCTGTGACAGGAGGGACTAAAATTTCAGCCCAGATATTAATACTTTCTGCTGAAAAGCTTTGGAGCCAGATTCCTAGATGTCATGGTAGAAATGAGTTATATCCCCCAATTTTAGTCCATCTCCTAAAGGTTTTTACAGTTACATCTTCACAGGAGGGGATGTTACATTAAAGAAAGAAACCTTCCTCTAGGTGGAGACATACCATTGTCCTGTCTCTTAACAATTAACCCGACTGGGCAGGTCAGTCACCAAGTTCTTGGTAGGTTTTGCTGAGTATCTTCCTCAAGATATGCTTAAGAAGTGGGAGATACAAGTATCCTTACAACAAGATAATGTACTTTTCCTCCCCAGAATTCTTGCCCTCTACAGTCACCCTAGAGCCATCATGAAATTCTGTTGAGTTTGGCCCTTCTGCATTTTCTTTTTGTCTTTTGGGTACTATCCTGAGCCTAAGTGTCTGCTACTTTAGGTCTTTAATTGTCTTTCTGCAGCACCCCTCCTGGTCATGGGAATGCGTGTTTGTCATGTGACTGATCTCCATGCTGGCCTAACTCAAACAGCATGGTTTTCTCTCTTTTTCTCTCTCTCCTCCAGGCTGCTGTCAAGATTTACAGCTTTCCTTCTGGAGTTTTTCTTTCAAACTCTGTTAGTTAATTGTCCTGGAGCTTTAAAAAAAAAAATCACGCTGGTGGCATGGCCTTTATTTCTGTGCTTCTGTGACTGATTACCTAGCTCAAGTTCCTGATTTTTTTGTCCAAGTTAGATTATGTACATGCTCTTGGACTAGAGTTCAGCTTTTTCTAACAGTCTTTTTGTTTGCTTTGTGCAGCCACTGGGTGTTTGTGGAGAAACACTGTTTTCTAGCAGAGCTCCCCAGCTCTTGAGGTGGTGCTGGGGTGAACCAGGGCATTAGTGCATGCTAGGTAAGTTCTCTACCACTCAGCTCTACTCCTGTTCTTTCCAGTAGTGTTTGTTCTTGACCTTTGAGAGTATCTAGCCTTGAGCCTGTACTGATCCTCCAACTTTAGCTTCCCCAGTGCTGGGGTTCCAGGCTGAGCCACCGTGCTTTGGTAGGTAACTCTTTTCTCCATGAATCAGAGTTAAGTAAAGCCTACTTTTTGAAAGTAGACTGGGCTTTGGGCAGTTACCATTCTTGATGACTAGCAGCTGTGCTCTCTTGATGTAGTTTACGTTTCTCCCATTATATACTACACATGCGACATATCAGTTTGCTTACAAATGTTTTATCCTGAAGACTGTGTTTATAGTTTACTATTAAAGAAAAAATGGCTCTTTAAATAGATTCTTAACTAATAAGCATCTTATTTTCAGTGAGATATTAAGTGTTTAATGCCTTGTTTATTGAAATTTCTTTCTTTCTTTCTTTCTTTCTTTCTTTCTTTCTTTCTTTCTTTCTTTCTTTCTCTTCCCTCTCTTTCCCCTCTTCCCTTCCTGTCTTTCACCCAACCTTCCTTCTGCTCTTCTGTCCCTCATAGGGTCTCAGGTATCCTAGGCTGGCTTTTAACTCCTGAATCTTTGTCCTTACCTCCTGAGTGTTTGGATTGCAGGTGTCCACTACCATGCATGATTTAGGCAGTGCTGGGAATTGAACACAGGCCTTCCTGCATGCTAGACAAGCACTCTGCCAACTTCACTACACCCTTGTCTGGAAGCTTTAGGATTTCCTAAAAGCTTTTGATTATGAAAATGTCATGTACACAAAACCAGATCACTGAGCATTCGTGTATTCTGCAATGATCACATTTTGCACCCCCTGTCCCCCCCCCCCCCCCCCCCCCCCCCTTCCCTTCTCTTAAATTTTTTCTCTCCAGGGTTGGGTTTTTTTTTTCTTTTTGGTTTGTTTTTTGTTTGTTCCGTTATTTTTCTTTTTTTTTCCGTTCTGGAGTACTTTAAAACAAGTCCTAGTAGATGTGCCATTTTATCTGTAAGTGTAATTTTGAGATATTGAGAGACCTGGGTCAGGTGCTGCCTCTGTCATCTGTCACCTTGTGCTCTTGAGTAAGTTGCTGAGTTTTTTTAAAACTAAATTTCTTCATAGGCAAAATGATTTCTACCTTAATTACAATGTGACCTGAGGAGGGCTGGGGATGTAATTTACTTAGTGGTAGAAAGTTTGCCTAGCATGCATAGACCTCTGGGTTTTATTTCTAGCAACCCATAAGCTAGGCATAGTGGTGCATACCATTCAATTCCAACACTCCTGAGGCAGAAATGGGAGTATCAAGTTTAGTAGCAATTTCAGGCCAATATGAATAACAAAACACTGACTCAAAACCAAAGAAAGAACAGAACAAATGAGATAATAAATATAAAAATATTTTGTAAATTTAGACCCTTGACTATTTCTCATAAAATGTAACAATAATACATAGGTAGTATGGGTGTTGGGTGTGTTCTTTATGACTCCCATGGCAAGCAGATTGTTGATCTGCATGAGTCAAGAAGGAAGTCTGGTTCAACATGACTCAGTAACTACTGGTATTGGTTTAACTTCTGTTGTCTGACACTGACTTAGAATTTACTGTGTACTCCAGGTTGGCCTTGAGCTCATGGTAATTTACCTACTTCTACCTCTCTAATGTTGGGATTACAGGAATGAACTAGCACACCTGACAAGCATAGATGTTCCTATGTCCTGTCTTGATTTCTTCAGTAGTTAGTACTTTGTAGTTTTTGTAGAAATTATTCAGTTTCAGGATTTGGACGTGATACCTTTGGAGCTTACAAGCAAACTTTCTAAGCTGGATTCAGCAAGTCTTGTGTTCTTAAAAACCAGCCAGTATTTTATATGGGAAGTTGTATCAATGGTTTTGGGAGCAAGACCTAAGAACATTTCTATTTGATGTCTTTTCCATATCCAGAGGATGCCAGCCCCCATCAGACTGCGGGAGCTGATCCGGACCATCCGGACAGCCCGAACCCAAGCTGAGGAACGAGAAATGATTCAGAAAGAATGTGCTGCAATCCGGTCATCATTTAGAGAAGAAGACAATACATACCGGTGTCGGAATGTGGCAAAGTTACTATATATGCACATGCTGGGCTACCCTGCTCACTTTGGACAGGTAGGCTGAGTAGAGACCACATCTGGCAAGAGCATGTCTTTTTGAATGACAGTGATTTGGGGAATCAAATCCTTTCTGTCAGGGAGATACTTTGATAGCCTGTAGTTCGAGTTGTGATCATTGTGACACCAAGGATAGGATGGAGAGAACAGCTGTGTACCTGGAAAGGTGTGATTCCCTCCTCTGCCTTCTCACTGCAGTTATTCCTTTATGTGGATTAGAGATTTGGTTTTGTCCTTTTGTTTTTAATGGTGTCCTCTAGCTTAAATATTTACTGGGATTAACCAGAGGACTGATTGTTCTGCCAGAGGATCTGGCTATAATGAATATTTAATCAGTTTTTGCTAAATGTTTTCTTAGTTACTTTCCCTGTGCAGGATATATGGAAAACTGTCTGGACAGATGTAGTTAAGTTAAAGACTTTTTCTTTTGTCCTGATTTTCCTCAGGCCTTAGTTGCTGCCACTATTGTGTAAATCTTTTTGCCAGCTTATTCTCTTCCTGACACAAATGCATGTTCTTTTGCTTTTTCCAATATGTGCATTGAGCGTGATATAGGTGCTTTTTTCTTTTGATGCTTATATTACGATAAAGGGGGCTTAGGATTTAGTCATAGAGAACGGTAGATGAGCTGTTTTACAATTTCTAATTAGTATTTTTAGTTTTAAATTCTATTTTACTTAAGAGTCAGTACTAAGTAGTCTTTTTAAGGAATGAACTACAAAATTGAAAGAAAGTCAATACAGGAAAGAAAAAGACTACTCACCTAGGGTTTCCAAAGGTAAATTGATACATCTGTCAAGGACAACAGTCAGCTTATGTTTAGCTCAGAAATTTCAGTGGAAGGAAATCTGCTGCCAACATAAAACAAGGAGTACAGAGGTTGAATTTTATCAGACTGGTTTCAGTCAGTGTTATGCTCATGTTGCGAGTTGTAGCCTCTTTAGAAATACGCATGGGAGAGCATTAGTTCCCCTGAGGAAAATTGAGGTATTACTGTAAGAAGAAAGGAGCCTGAGGTAGAAGAAAGGGAGCAGCTCCTGTGGATGGAGTCCTTCCTTACCTGATTTCAGTGGGAGTGGTTGTAAATAGCATCGCTTTCATGGCTGTTAACAGTTTTCTTAAAAAAGTATAATGAGTGCCTCCTTTGATACAGATTTTATACTTTATTCTTACAGAATTAATGGAGTCAGAACCTAAAGATGTTAGTATTTGAAGGTATAGGCTACATTAAATTTGATCCAGGTAATTATTGTATATGCATAGCATATTAGAAAACATGGGTGTCTATATAGTCTTGGTTGATTATCAGTTGAGACATTAGGTCTGATTTATAGAAATCTGATTAGAAATTTAGCTTTAAAAAGAAAAGGTAACCTGGTTGGGGAAAGACTCAGAGTCCAGTCAGGTGTAGTGGTACATGCCTTTCATCCTAGCACATGAGAAGCACAGCAGGCAGATCTCTGAGTTGGAGGTCAGCTTGGTCTACAAAGTGAGTTCCAGAATAGCCAGAGAAACCTTGTCTAAACACACACACACACAAACACACACACACACATGCATGCACACAGATTCAGAACCCTTCCATTTGAAGATGTTCACTGTTATTATTCCTAAGGGAATTTTAAGGAGACAGCTCTTGAATTTAAAATCAGAGTAGATTTAAGGTTTCGAGGAGATTTTAATTTGAAAAAGATACATGTGTATGGACATGTGTGTATACACACACGTACATCTAAAGTTAAGATTCACTTCTGGCCGATCGGTGGTGGCTCACGCCTTTAATCCCAGCACTTGGGAGGCAGAGGCAGGTGGATTTCTGAGTTTGAGGCCAGCCTGGTCTACAGAGTGAGTTCCAGGACAGCCAGGGCTACACAGAGAAACCCTGTCTCGAAAAACCAAAAAAAAAAAAAAAAGATTCATTTCTGAAACATGATTGAATAAAATTACATGGGCTGAGGTATATTATAGTGGTGGAATTCTTGCCTGATATATGTAAGGCCTATAGTTGATCCATAGCACCACATTAAAAGAGATCACTTCCAAGGTGTAGGTGACATTTTAGGGATGTTTTGAAATAAAACACTGAATTTTTAGTTGAAAAGTGTGAATACTCGAAAAAGCTGTGGTAAAATTTTGGTAAAAAGTTAAAGGTCTTTTTGTTTGGGACTAAGAATTATAAGTCCACAACTCTCGTTTCCTTTACTTAAAAGTCCCTACCTTATTCATGTCAGTAATTTTCTCTATACTATGTCTATAAAAAGGTTCCTATCTTGATTCTCTCACTTCTATGTATGAGTAGCAGCTATTCTTGTTTAATTGTGTATAACAGCTGCCCTATGATTCCATTTTATTGTCAGATGGGCTGTTTGTTATGGGAGTCAGGAGCTGTATGTCCCTGAGCTCCTGAAACATGGCTAGTTTAACTGAGGGGACTATTAAAAGGAAAATAAAATATTCTTGAATATTGATACAGTTATTGGAAAAATTTTAAATGTGGTTTAAGCAATTGGAATACGTGAGTCAATTGTTTATTTTATGAAATGGAAATACAGTTGAAGTATTTCTACTGAAAATGTATACAAATTGAAATGTGCTGTAAGTGTAAAGTACATTCTGTATTTAGAAGCCTCATACACAAAAGTGTAAAATATTTAATACTATCTATGATTATATGTTTAAATATGATACTTTAGATAAGTTGGTTAAATAAAATATGTTATGAAAACTAATTTTACCTGTTTCTTTTTAATTTTTATTGCAGTGTCTAGCATGATGCTGTCAATAGAAACAAAATATGAAAAGCCAGGCATGGTGGTGCATGCCTATAATCCCAGCACTTGGGAGGCTGAGGCAGGAGGATTGCTGCACTTCCGAAGCTAGCTTGGGCTACATGGCAAATTTGAGCCACGCCTGGGCTACGTAGTAAAACTGTCTCAAAAGTGCTAAGAAATTGTTTTTTAGATGAGACACATGAATAATGTAAACGTTTTAGAAGCCGCTTAAGTAAAATCTCAGTCAGGTTTAGAGTAAAACCTTGAAGTAGGTAAGTCTCTCAAAGTTGAATTCTTGCCCCATGGAGAGAGGGTCAGAAAAAAATCAGAGTTTTAAATTTTTGTTTAAATTCATTCAGCTAGTAAATATTAGAGTAGACGTCAGCCTTCTGTAACACAAAAGCCTATTCAGCCTTTGGGCTTAGTTTTAAATTCTATAAATAGCTACTTCCATTAAGTTTATGTATTTTAGCCCTGCCAAACTCACAGAGTGGCTGAGATAGCAACAACCTCGAGCATCAGTTCAAAAGAAGAAAACAATAGTTGAAAGTCAGAATTGGGAGAAGGAGCTCAAAGCATCAGGCCAGGGTAGCTGTTGTTGAGTCAGCCAGAGTAAGAAAAGAAACACTTAGCTCCCTGGTTGCCAGTGTCAGAATCCAAGAGCAAACCAGCAAGGGCCAGACTGCCTGCCTGCTTGCATGCCTGCCCAGTGGGGACAGGCTACTGCTACTTACTGTCTGAGTGATTTGGAACAAGACCTTTGACTTTTCTCCCTTCCTCTTACTCTTCCTCTCTTCCTTGTTTCTTTTCATGTCTCCCTCTTCCTTTTTCTTTTCTTTCCTATCTTTTACCTTTGTATGGCGGTGTCCTCATCTGTAAAATGGAGACAATCTGAATCTCTTCTTTATTGGGCTGTTACAAACACTAAGTCAATAATTGTTAGATTTTTATGTTTTATGCATAAAGCATTACCTATTTTATCATTTCCTTGAGGAGTACAAATGCAGCTTTTGGAAGTCCTGAATTCTAAGAGACTGTCTTTTGTGTAGGTCTTTTATCATCAGAGTCTGTCAGAGACAGTAGTACCCTTAACATTTTATACCAGCAACATTTTCCAAAAGATGTATAACTTTTCACTTGTTTGGTTTAGATACAGTTTAAAAGTAGTTTCCTAGTACATGTTTTTTTATTTCTCTCTGTGTACGTATCCCACTGCACACATGTGGAGGAGGTAAGATGACAGCTTGCAGGGATTGCCTCTCCCTCCTCCTCATAGATCTCAGGGATGGAACTTAGGTTTGCAGGTTGGTGACAAGTGCCTCTACCCATGGAGCCATCTTGTAGACCACAAGTTGAGTACCTAAAGAATATTTATGTCTCAGAGGTTAAGAGCATTGGCTGCTTTTCCAAAGGTCCTGAGTTCAATTCCCAGCAACCACATGGTGGCTCACAACCATCTATAATGAGGTCTGGTGCCCCCTTCTGCTGTGCAGGTATATGTGCAGGCAGAACATTGTATACATAATAAATAAATCTTTAAAAAAAATTAGAAAAATAATATTATAGGAGTAGAATACTGGGAACCAGGACCAAATTTTTATGTAGTTGTGTTGTGGAAATTGTTTTGAAATTGCTGCCAGTGTATAAAAATGAAGGAACTTTACATAGAAAAACACTGGCTGCTGGGCAGTGGTGGCGCACGCCTTTAATCCCAGCACTTGGGAGGCAGAGACAGGCGGATTTCTGAGTTTGAGGCCAGCCTGGTCTACAGAGTGAGTTCCAGGACAGCCGGGGCTATACAGAGAAACCCTGTCTCGAAAAAACAAAAAAAAAAAAAAAAAAAGAAAAAGAAAAAAAAAGAAAAACACTGGCTTCAACTATATCTTAGAAAAATCAGAAGCTTTGGCAACATTGGACACACTTTTCCAGGTGACAGTCAGAGAGCTGGGCAGTGTTCTCTGTTTCTCCTTAAATTCAGCCTGTCTCCTATGTCTTGTTCCTCTGTGTGTGAGCAGTCCTTCTGTCAGTGTGATGTAGCTAGCCACTCCTTCATAATCACAGTACTCGTTTTAGTCTCATGCATTCTAAGAGACATTTATCTGCTGGTTCTTTAGAACATCTATTCCTAATTACAAACAATATTCTTTTTTTTTTTAATATTTATTTTATTTATATGAGTACACTGTAGCTGTCTTCAGGCACACCAGAAGAGGGCATTGGATCTCAT